AAATTAATCAATTTTCAAATCTAAATATCAATATTTAGTAAGGTAGACTTCTGAATTTTGAATTTTAAATTTTGAATTTTAAATTTTGAATTGAGATTTTGATTTTTAAATATAGGGTAGGACTTTAACTGATATACACTAATCTTATATTAATATATAATCAATTTATAAATTTAGATATCAATATTTAACATTATAAATTTTTAAATTTAAATTATCAAAAGTAATATATACTAACATTTTATTTTATTCAATTAACTTTTAATAAAATTTTCAGCCTAATATTAAGAGATTTAAAAAAGTTTTCTAATAGTTAGGGTAAAATCCCTTTTAACTCCACGTTGTGCTTTCGTCATAGACAAAAAAGCAAAAAACAAGAGACCGTTCCTTATTGAAAATACTCTTATATTCCAAATATTATTTTTTTAGTAAACTGTGCTATAATTTTAATTCTATATATACCATACAGTAGGTTTTAATCATTATAGGTTTTAGAATTCTACCGAGCGATTCGAGGGGCACGCACCTCAATAAAAGAGGTGAAAAATCATTTAGTTTGGGAATTAAATCCCTAGTTGTTAACATTTCCTAACTTACCTAACTATTAACTATTACTCTTGTTAAAAAAAAAAATCATTATAGGTTTTAATTAAAGTAATTTAATTTGAATATACACTAATTTGAGGAATATTTTCTTGTTTGGAACTACCTTGAAACTTCAAGCTTTCTAATGCTTCGACACTTTAAAACTCGAGGCTAAGTTTACAATAGTGGGAAAGAATGATGCGAAAGCTAAAAGAAATGAAAATCACAAAATGGGTTTCAAGACTAATTTTGCATTCAAAGAATTGCTTCTTTTACAAGTTAAACCTTTATTTTAATTAAGATTTTACTTTTTTAAGGCTTCAAAGTAAATAGATCCTCTCTCAGTATATCTTTTTCATTTATTCTAAACTTGGTATGTAAGTACCTTATTAACTTGAAATTTTATTCTTAATTGAATGTCTTTTCTTTTTTATTATAGGGTTTATGTCTTCTATAAAATATTACTATTATAAGATCAAATAGGTATGAAAGCTTTCAATAATATTTTAAATGAGAAAGCAAATAAATCCTTCCTTAAGATATCTTTTCTATTTATTCTAAACTTGGTAGGCAAGTATCTTATTAGTTTAGAATTTTATTTTTAATTAAATGTCTTTTCTTTTTTATTAGGGTTTATGTCTTCTATAAAATGTTATATTATAAGATCAAACAGGTATGAAAGCTTTTAACAGTATTTTGAATGAGAAATCCTTTATTTTTAGTGTATAATCTCATATTATTCTCATAGACTTATTTATCATCCTCTCATAGATCTATTTATCTTTGCTTCTAGGTTGAATTTAATTTACTTCATTTTTGGCGGTTTTAAAAATGAATATGATAAAGTGATAAACTCCTATTTTTACTCTCTTAATTTTATTTTAAGATATGACTAAATGTAAGCGAATCTTGAATTTTTTTTTTTTTTTTTTGAAAACAAAGAATACATAAAGAAGTTAGTTACAATAGTACTTGGGAATAACCCAACCCCGTAAGCATCAGCAGACAAAAATGTACCAATGGCATGAGGGGTGGGATCACAAAATATGCGAGCTAGGGGAAACATTAAAGCGATTCTCAGCAATAATACGGTCAAAAAGCATGATGCCTTTATGCCAAGTGTGATGAATACTGCAATTGGGAATGAGCTGAGTGAGGTTTTATGTTTAATTGTTTGCTTAATTAGCTGATAATGGAAAAAGAAAAAGAAAAACAGTAACAGAAAAAGAGCAAGGAAAAAAAATGGGCAAAAGAGAAAGAAAACGGAATAAAGGAAAGAAGAAGCAAGAGAGTCTAATTTGACGCAATTCCCTTCGTCACACGCATACAACAGTGGTGTAAGTAGTTTTTGAAAGTTTATAAGTAGGGTGTGCTCCTTGCTTAATGGATACCTCATCCTCACCTGAAGCTAGCTAACTAGTTTTCAACAACTTATATTTCCCATCTCACTGGCTATTTTCTCACATATCTGCATTCTGATATATATATAGAGAGAGAGCGGATGGAGCCCAAATACTTTCTTCATGAACATCCACTGCACTTCTTTGAAGAGTGGAGCAATAATGTCCACGGTGAGACTAGAGGCGTGAACTGCTCATCAGGATGTGGGCAGCCAATCTCAACTCAGTTCTATGCATGCATCGACTGTAAGTTTTTCCTTCATAAATCATGTTCTGAGCTACCATTGAGCATCACTCACCCCTTCCATGATAAGCATCCTCTCACTCTTTTAGCCAGAGCACCATACTGGTCTTCTTGTTGTTTTTGTGATGGCAGCCTCAAAGGATTTGTTTACCACTGTTCATCTTGTAAATTTGACCTTGACATCAAGTGTGCCTTGCTCCCAGAATTCCTTAATGGAGATTTTCCAAAAGTTGATCATCACATTCATGTTGAACACCCACTCTCCTTCATCGAAAATCTTAGCCACCGTGGAGTTGAACTAGCTTCTTCCCGCTATTGCAGTGTTTGCTTAGAAAAGTTATCAGATGCTTCCTTTTACACTTGTCTTGTTTGTAAGCTTTTCCTTCATAAATCATGTTCTGAGACTGAGCCACCATTGAACATCAATCACCCCTTCCATGAGAAGCACACTCTTACTCTTACTCTTCTTAAACGGGATACGGTAGTACATTGTCAAATTTGTCGTAATTATCGTTATCCTGCAGGATTGTTTTACCATTGTTCTTCTTGTCATTTCCACCTTGACATCAAATGTGCTTTTCTCCCACAATTCCTCACTGGAAATTTCCCAAAACGTGATCA